GTTCAACAGTTTTGTTTATTTATTTTTTTTAAAGATGGATATAGTGTAATAAAAGTTATTATTTCACACAATTTGTAAGGGTGGTCATTAAAATAACTTTTTTTTTTTAAATGTCTGCTCTCACCCTCTAACTGTGTTCTATATAATAAAATAATACTAGAATTAAAAAAATTTTCAATAAAAAATATTTTAAAGGGTTGCTACGGACCCTTGAACATTAAATCGATTCCTAATACTGTAAAAAAAAAAAGTTTTTCAAAAGTATGTCATGTTGGGTCTCAAATGAAGCGAAATTTTATTAAAAATTTTAAAAATATGCATCAATTTATAATGACAATAATAATAGTTTATAATAAAAATATTATTTTAGATTTAAGTAAACAGAAAATAATGTTTTTTAACTAAAAACAAAAATTAAGGAATTTAACAAGATTTTTTGATTATAATTAAGTGATGTTTTTTTATAAACTGATGATTATTTTAAGATTTTTTATATAATTTCACTTTTTTTGAGACCCAACATGATATTCTTTTAAAGAAATTTTGTCTTGATAATTATATGGATCCGTCTGATGTTTAAAGGTCTTGAGCTACCCCTAAATTTTTTTTTTTTCAAAAATGTTTTTATTTATTTTAAAATTCAAAAATTTTAAATTCAAAAATTTTTTTTATGCTAGTATTATTTTATTATATAAAACACATTTAGAAGGCAAGAGCAGACATTAAAAAAAAAAGATTTGTTTAAATGGCTACCTTGATGTATGTATGTATATATGTATGTACAGGCCTTGTAATGAAGTGGGAGCAATCACTCCACGTACATGAAACACCTCCATAAATGGCCTTCTAGGAGTGACAAATAATGCTTGCCAGTTTTGTTATGAGAGTATTAAATGGAGCTTGTCTGAATAACTTGCAAGGAAGAAAATTATAAGTTGATTTTAAAGAAAATATTTTTAATAAAATTTTTTTGCAATGTCAAAATATGTTTACACAGTAGAGTTAGCATATTGTTAAATAAAGTTATATTCATAATACATATGTCACCTATAATTTATTTTAATTTATGCGGCATAAGTTAAATTAATGCTGCATAAATTTAAAATGATCTACTTATTTTATTTGAAAGCTAAATTCAGCATATCTTTTTGTTTTTTTTTAATACTAGTTGAACTTTATCATATTATCTGCTTAATCGTGGTTAGGTCGAACCATTTGACAACTAGTTTTTTAGGGTCCATTTGACAAAAAACTTCGCTTAACTAAAACTTTTACTTTGAATTGCATAAAATTCTATGTAATAAAATATCAAAACTTGCAACACTTCAATAAATATTCCAAACTTTAATGTTAAAAAAATAAAATATCTCGCACAATATCTATAAATATCTAGCATAATATTTATAAATATCTTATAAATATCTTATAAATATCTAGTGTAAAAAAATTTATTATACTAAAACTTCACTTATAGCTTCGATCTCATTCTACAGGTTCGACCACATTCTAATGACTAATATATTTAAAATTCAAAAGCAAAAAAATGTTGGAATATCAAATATTTTTTGTCAAATATAAGTTAAACTAAATATTTTTGCTGATAACTTCGAATCGGTTAAGCTTATATTGGAGTCTATTTATTAAAAAAGTTAAAGCTAAACGCAACTAAAAAGTTAAAAAAAAAAAGTTTTAATAAAACAATACGTATATCAAAAGAAAAAAAATAATGTCACTATTTTGACAAAGGCATTTCTCAAAATATTCATCAGTATATTTACTTGATAATAATTAAATCGCGCATTTAGTTTAAATTAGAATGCAGTTTTCTGTTTTGTAAAAACAATGAATGGAAACTTATGAAGTCATTACTGCTAACAGATAAAATGGAATGTTTTAACACTAATTTATTTTAAATTAAACTAAAAACGTTTCTGTTGTTTAGAATTTCCGCAATCAAGCATGTTAATTCAACTCTAATTGGAAACAATAACAACATGACAAACAATGTTGTCATATTGTCAACTTTTGGTTAATGGCAATATTTCATTGTTTTTATTTTTTTAACATTAAAGCTGTAGTAACATAATTTTTCCAGTAGAATACTGGAAAAATTGTCATCCGCCCCCTATATTCTAAAAAAGATCTGTTCATATTCTTAAAACCTTCTATTGGTTCTCACAAGCAACTTTATTAAATTTTTTCAAATTTTTATTGGATTTATGGGGAGCACCAGACCCTTGAATACTTAACATGTCCCTAATATTATATAAAAAAAAGTTTTTCAAAAGTACCTCATGTTGGGTCTCAAAAGAAGCGAAATTATATAAAAATTTTAAAAATAATAATCATTTTATAAAAAAATTATTATTTTACCTTTTTTAACCTAAAAAAGAATAAAGTTTATTTTTTGATAATTATTTTTGAAAAAAATTTTAAATAATAATTTTTTTATTAAATGAGCATTAATTTAAAATTTTTTATATAATTTCGCTTCTTTTGA